GGGCGACATCCACAATGACTTGTTGGAAACTCCTGGGCCATTCACAGCAGAAAAGATGAAAACCTCCAAGAGTCTGGATGTGTTGTTGAACTTGTTGAGTCCACGGTTTGTTAGGATCTTCTACGTTTGCTCTGCGGATGTTTGAAAGTCGTTTAATTCACCGTTGGCAGTTCTTTTCACTCAGAATACGAAAAAGACATTTTCCTTCTTCCGTGTTTCTATTTGTGCGTCCGATAATGCAGCAGGAATTTACCATTATCGGTGATAAATACACGAGGTTACGAACTGTGTTTGACGCTATCGTGTTTCTTGTCTCTGACCTAAATATTTCCCAGCAGCAACGCGGACTTTTAATAACAATGACGTCAGCAGAAACTCGCCTATAACATCATGTATAACGTCATGTATAACATCATGTATAACATCATGTATAACGTCATGTATAACGTCATGTATAACGTATAACGTCATGTATATAACGTCATGTATATCATGTCATGTATAACGTCATGTATAACGTCATGTATAACGTCATGTATAACGTCATGTATAACATCATGTATAACATCATGTATAACGTCATGTATAACGTCATGTATAACGTCATGTATAACGTCATGTATAACTCATGTATAACGTCATGTATAACGTCATGTATAACGTCATGTATAACATGTATAACGTCATGTATAACATCATGTATAACGTCATGTATAATCATGTATAACATGTATAACATCATGTATAACGTCATGTATAACGTCATGTATAACGTCATGTATAACGTCATGTATAACGTCATGTATAACGTCATGTATAACATGGTGTATAACGTGGTGTATAAAGTGGTACCAGGTGTCTGATGGTGTCGCTGATCACTTTGTACCAGTCGCTGACGATGCTCTCGGTGTCGTACTGAATCAGGAACTCACAGCCCTGACGAGTCTTCAGCTGAACCACCAATCACACGCCAGAGAGGAGGAGCCAATCACACGCCAGAGAGGACGAGCCAATCACACGCCAGAGAGGACGAGCCAATCACACACCAGAGAGGACGAGCCAATCACACAAAAGAGAGGACGAGCCAATCACACAAAAGAGAGGACGAGCCAATCACATGCCAGAAGGACGAACCAATCACACGCCAGAAGGACGAACCAATCACACGCCAGAAGGACGAGCCAATCACACGCCAGACAGGACGAGCCAATCACACGCCAGAGAGGACGAGCCAATCACACGCCAGAGAGGAGAGAGGGACAAAAGAGCCAATGAGAGACCAGAAAGGAGCAAGACAATCAGTTAATCCAGGTCCAATCCTGGTCCAGTCCAGGTCCAGTCCAGGTCCAGTCCGGGTCCAGTCCGGGTCCAGTCCAGGTTCTGACCTCCAGGACGTTCTTCTTGGAGGACTTGTTGTGGGCCCAGGACACAGACGCTCCTCTCAGATCCACCGTGAACTCAGGCACAATCTGAGACGCTTTAGTCTGCAAGAGGAAGGGCATCTGACACAATCTGACACAATCTGACACACGGGGAGGGCACCTGACACACACGGGGAGGGCACCTGACACACACGGGGAGGGCACCTGACACACACGGGGAGGGCACCTGACACACACGGGGAGAGCACCTGACACACACGGGGAGGGCACCTGACACACACGGGGAGGGCATGTGACTCACGTTGGTGCCGGCGGGGGCAGATTTGGGGTCTCTGTGGAACGTCAGGATCCCACCGTGAAGAACCGTCCACGACTGAGACCAGTTCTTCCTGAAACAGAGAACACAAGGTCAAAGGTCATGTTTGTGGTCCCCCTGTAGACCCCTGTAGTCCCTGTGTAGTCCTACTGTAGTCCCAATGTAGTCCTCTTGTAGTCCCGATGTAGTCCTCTTGTAGTCCTACTGTAGTCCCAGTGTAGTCCTACTGTAGTCCCGGAGTAGTCTCAGTGTAGTCCCCCTGTAGTCCCTGTGTAGTCCCTGTGTAGTCCCGGTGTAGTCCCAATGTAGTCCTACTGTAGTCCCGGTGTAATCCCAGAGTAGTCCCGGAGTAGTCCCAGTGTATTTTTGGAGTAGTCCCGGGGTAGTCCCGGTGTAGTCCTACTGTAGTCTCGGTGTAGTCCCCCTGTAGTCCCGGTGTAGTCCTGGTGTAGTCCCAGTGTAGTCCTACTGTAGTCCCAGTGTAGTCCTACTGTAGTCCCAGTGTAGTCCTACTGTAGTCCCGGTGTAGTCCTACTGTAGTCTCGGTGTAGTCCCCCTGTAGTCCCAGTGTAGTCCTACTGTAGTCCCAGCGTAGTCCTACTGTAGTCCCGGAGTAGTCCCCCTGTAGTCCCGGTGTAGTCCTACAATAGTCCCGGAGTAGTCTCAGTGTAGTCCCCCTGTAGTCCCAGTGTAGTTCCGGTGTAGTCCCAATGTAGTCCTACTGTAGTCCCAGTGTAATCCCAGAGTAGTCCCGGAGTAGTCCCAGTGTATTCTTGGTGTAGTCCAGGTGTAGTCCCGGTGTAGTCCTACTGTAGTCCAGGTGTAGTCCAGGTGTAGTCCTACTGTAGTCCTGTAGTCCAGGTGTAGTCCAGGTGTAGTCCTACTGTAGTCCAGGTGTAGTCCAGGTGTAGTCCTACTGTAGTCCAGGTGTAGTCCAGGTGTAGTCCTCCTGCGGCGCCCGCTTCTGGACTCACCTGATCTTTTTTCCGTTGTCGCAGACTTTGGTTTTGTTGATGATTCCGGCCTTTTCCAGCAGGTGGCCCTAGAGACACAGGAAGTGAACAGGACGTCAGAGCCGACGACAGGTGCACCCCCCAAAACCAGGGCCACAGAGACGACAGGTGCACCCCCCAAAACCAGGGCCACAGAGACGACAGGTGCACCCCCAAAACCAGGGCCACAGAGACGACAGGTGCACCCCCCAAACCAGGGCCACAGAGACGACAGGTGCACCCCCAAACCAGGGCCACAGAGACGACAGGTGCACCCCCAAACCAGGGCCACAGAGACAACAGGTGCACCCCCAAACCAGGGCCACAGAGACGACAGGTGCACCCCCAAACCAGGGCCCCTGAGCACCAGGACCCACCCAGAGACGCAGCCAGAACTGTGCCCATCCGCCCCGGGGCAGAAACACGCCAGGGACACGTCCCAGTGTTAAAGAAAGGAACTGTTAGTCCAATCAGAGCCCAGAAAAGCCCTGGACCACAACACAAACACAACACAAACACACAAACACAACACAAACACACACAAAAACACAAAACACACAACAAACACACAAACACAACACAAACACACAAACACAAACACACACAAACACAAACAAACACAACACACACACACAAACACAACACAAACACAAACAACACAACACAAAACAAACACAACACACAACACACAAACACACACAAACACAAACACACACAAACACAACACAACACAACACAACAACAAACACAACACAACACAACACAAACACAAACAACACAAACACAACACAAACACAACACAAACACACACACACACAACACAAACACAAACACAAACAAAACAACACAACACACAACACAAACACAACACAACACACACACAAAACACACAAACACACAAACACAACACAACACAACACAAACACACACACAAACACACACAACACACAAACACAGACACAAACACAACACAAACACACAAAACACAACACAAACACAAACACAAACACAACACAAACACACAAACACAAACACAACACAAACACACAAAACACAACACAAACACACAAACACAAACACACAAACACACACAAACACAACACAAACAAACACAACACAAACACAACAAACACAGACACAAACACAACACAAACACACACACAAACACAACACAAATACAAACACACACAAACACAGACACAACACAAACACAAACACAAACACAAACACAACACAAACACACACAAACACAACACAAACACACAAACACAAACACAACACAAACACACAAACACAACACAAACACAAACACACACAGAACACAACACAACACAAACAAACACAACACAAACACAAACACAGACACAAACACAAACACAAACACACACACAACACAAACACAAACAAACAAACACACAAACACAACACAAACAAACACAACACAAACACAAACAAACACAAACACAAACAAACACAGACACAAACACAAACAAACACAACACAAACACAAACAATCACAACACAAATACAAACACACAAACAAACACAACACAACACACAAACACAAACACAACACAACAAACACAACACAAACACAACACAAAACACACACAAACACAGACACAACACAACACAACACACACAACACAAACACACACACAACACAACACACAAACACACAAACACAACACACAACACACACAACACAAACACAACACAAACACACACACAACACAAACACAACACAAACACACACAAACACAGACACAAACACAACACACACACACACACACAAACACACAAACACACACACAAACACACACAAACACAACACAAACACACACAACACACACAAACACAACACAACACAAACACACACACAAACACAGACACACAAACACAAACAAAACACACAAACACAAACACAACACAAACACACAAACAAACACAACACAAACACACACACAAACACACACACAAACACAAACAAACACAGACACAAACACAACACAACACACACACACACAAACACAACACACAACACAACACACAACACAAACACAACACACAACACAAACACAACACAAACACACACAAACAAACACAACACAAACACAAACACACACACAAACACAAAACACACACAAACACAACACAAACACAGACACAAACACAAACAGAAACACAGACACAACACAACACACAAACACACAAACAAACACAAACACAAACAAACAAACACAAACACAAACACAAACACAAACACAGACACAAACACACAAACACACACAAACAAACAAACACAAACAAACACACACAAACACAGACACAAACACACACACAGACACAAACACAGACACAAACACAAGTACATCACAGTGTTATAAGAAAGGAACTGTTAGTCCAATCAGAGCCCAGACAGAAGCCCTGGACCAATCAGAGCTCAGAGAGGAGCCCTGGACCAATGGGAGTGGAGCGTACGTGCTGCTGGAGTGAGTCTGTGCTGCGATTGGACAGGTTCCTCCTCAGCTTCAGCCTATCAGGGGCCTTCAAACAGTCACATGATCAAAACAGAGCGGGACATGACATCACAGAGGGGCACATGACGTCACAGAGGGGCACATGACGTCACAGAGGGGCACATGACGTCACAGAGGGGCACATGACGTCACAGAGGGGCACATGACATCACAGAGGGGCACATGAAATCCCTTTGACAGAATCCCCTCTTTAAGAACAAGCAAAGAACCATGGGAAAGGTAGTCCCTTCATTCCATGGTCAAACAGGCTGTGACCCCCTGGTGACCCCCTGGTGACCCCCTGGTGACCTCTCACCTGTGTGGCGTCGGGGGCGAGGCTGCGGTCTGTTACATCAGAGGCGTGTCTCCGCACCGGGAAAACTCTCTGAACACAAACAAACACGACAAACTGGAGTTTAACAAAGAGACGCACCAAACGTGTGTGTGATGTGTGTGTGTGTGTGTGTATGTGTGTGTGTGTATGTGTGTGTGTGTGTGTGTGTGTGTGTGTGTGTATGTGTGTGTATGTGTGTGTGTGTGTGTGTGTGTGTGTGTGTGTGTGTGTGTGTGTGTATGTGTGTGTGTGTGTGTATGTGTATGTGTGTATGTGTGTATGTGTGTATGTGTGTGTGTGTGTGTATGTGTATGTGTATGTGTGTGTATGTATGTGTATGTGTGTGTGTGTGTGTGTGTGTGTGTATGTGTGTGTGTGTGTGTGTGTGTATGTGTGTGTGTATGTGTGTGTGTGTGTGTGTGTGTATGTGTGTGTGTGTGTGTGTGTGTGTATGTGCGCGTGTGTGTATGTGTGTGTGTGTGTGTGTGTGTGTGTGTGTATGTGTGTGTGTGTGTGTGTGTGTGTGTGTGTGTGTGTGTGTGTGTGTGTGTGTGTGTGTGTGTGTGTGTGTGCGTGTGTGTATATACAGCGGCAACTGCAGCTTTAGAAAAACTTTGCAACCAGGACTAAACTGTTTCATCATTAAAGTGTTTCACTCACATCTTCAGTCGCATTCCTCCTCCAACCACGAGACGCTGCCTCCGGGACTCCATTTCCCAATGTCCTCTAGGGCGCACAAAAACACACACACAAACAAACACACACACAAACAAACACACACACATACACAGTCACACAGACACACACACACAAACAGTTATATTTCAGCTCAGATCGACTCTGCAGATGTTTCTCCAGAGTTTGTACCTCTGACAGCTCCACGTGACTTCTGGGGACCTGCACCTGAGGGCCAAGAATACACACCTCTGTTACACAAAGTCCTGTGTAGTCCTGGTTGAGTCCTGGTTTAAACCTGGTCGGTGTGATGCGGTCGGTGTGATGCGGTCGGTGTGATGCGGTCGGTGTGATGCGGTCGGTGTGATGCGGTCGGGTGTGATGCGGTCGGTGTGATGCGGTCGGTGTGATGCGGTCGGTGTGATGTGGGTGAAGTGGTCGGTGTGATGTGGTTGGTGCGGTCGGTGTGACGCGGTCAGGGTGACGCGGTCGGTGTGATCGGTCGGGTCGTGTGTCGGTGTGTCGGTGTGATGTGGTCGGTGTGTGGTCGGGGGTCATACTGTGGTGAAGACGCTGTCGTCTGGAGCCTGGTTCTCTTCGTGAGGATAATCCTCCTCTGGCAGTGACTGAAACAACAACAGTTATTTAGACTTGTCCCGTCCAGTCCCAGTCCAGTCCAGGTCCAGTCCCGGTCCAGTCCCGGTCCAGTCCCGGCCCAGTCCCGGTCCAGACTCACTGGGTGGGTGTGGGGTAAATCCCAGGATGTTGCTCCCGTCGTCGGGTTGAAGAAGTAAAATCTCCCTGAGACCTCGTCCACCAGACGCTCCCACGGCGCCACCTGCAGGACAGAGCCAACAGTGTGTCAGGTCCCTCCCGTGTGTCAGGTGCCCTCCCGTGTGTCAGGTCCCTCCCGTGTGTCAGGTGCCCTCCCGTGTGTCAGGTGCCCTCCCGTGTGTCAGGTGCCCTCCCGTGGAGTGTGTCAGACGTCCGTGAGTGGGCGGGGCCGGGTTCAGAGGGTGGGGTTTACCTGTGAGTGGGCGGGGTTTACCTGTGAGTGGGCGGGGCCGGGCTCGGAGGGCGGGGTCCAGGTGGAGCGTCTGGTCAGAGCGTTAAAATAAAAGAGTTTCCCCGAATCTGAGTCAGTGTGAGTCTGAAGAGAAGAGAGAGAGGAGAGAGAGGAGAGAGAGAGAGAGAGAGAGAGAGAGAGAAGAGAGAGAGGAGAGAGAGAGAGAGAGAGCAGAGAGAGAGGAGAGAGAGAGAGGAGAGAGAGAGAGAGAGAGAG